TTATATGCAGGTTTTCAGTTCTAGGAGTAAAGGTACTCGAATTGTCCTTGTTGATGCCCCCTTGGGCTGTCAAACCCTCAATCCTAGTCCATTACAGATTTAAACGGATCGAGTTCAATTCGAGGGGACACATTTCTCTATATCTGACACGGAGAATAAATTCTCACGAAGACATAGAGCATATGAACCCCGAAAGTTACTTGCTAGGTCTGACACGGAGAATAAATTCTCACGAAGACGTCGCTTTCACTCCCACTTAAAAGGGACAAACTCAATTATAGAGCTTTATGTTATGCAATGCAAGTGTTGTGTGTGAGGAGAAATATTCAAACCTCTAACAGATAAATAAAATAATTAATACCTGAATAAAAAAAAACAATATTAATATAAAAAGAATAAATAATAAAAATTTGAAAGAAAAGAATTAAAAATTAAATAAATGAATTTTTAATTTCTAATTAATAGAGACAATTGATTTTAAAGTTTGACGGTCCCCAGCGGAGTCGCCAAGCTGTCGTAACCGGTTTTCGTCCGGGCACGAAAATATTAACTTTATGGGAAAAGTAATGTGAATAAATGGTTTTTAAAATAATTTGGGAGTCGCCATCGGCCTTTTGAGTCAGGTAGGTCGAATACCTAAAAATCATCTTTTAAAAGAGTTTTTAAGAAAACATCAGTTAAAAGATAAACTGATCTGCGTTTAACCAAAAATTCATTCTTTTTTATTAATAAAAAGGGATTCGTGGTCGGTTACGTTTAGGGAAGGATTAGCACCCCTACAACGCCCAAAATTGGTACTTTATTAACTATAAATTGTCTCTATTATTAGAAGAAAAAATTTCGAATATATTTAATTTATAATTCTATTTTTTCAAAATTATATAAAAATATTTATTTATTTAAAAATATCAGAAAAGAACTTCTAGGTGCCTTAAGACAGCTCTTTTCTTTGATATTGATAAATGTTAATTTAAATTAAATAATATTTTAAAAAAATTAATTATTAAATTTTAAAATATCAGAATAGGACATCCAGTTGTATTAAGACTGTCCTTTTCTTCGATATTGAAAAATAAATTTTGAAATAATTTATTTGAAATAAATATTTATTTATTATATATATATTTATGACTATATAATAATAAAAATATATAAACAAATAAAATTAAAATAAAAATACAATTGGAGCTATATATTTAAAAGCAATAAAATAAATGAAAACATTTAAAATAAATGACTAAATTATAGTAAAATTAAAAACCTAATTCATAATTACTCAAAATTACAGGGATTAAATATGCTATTTTCTTATTTAATAATTTAGTGACTAAAATAAACTTATCTAAAATTCGAATATAAGATTAAAATAAATTAAAAATATAAACTAGGGATTAAAATATTATTTATTAGAGTTAAGGGACTAAATATATTATTTATCCTAAATATTTAAACATACAGGCTAGGACTAAAATGAAATAAAATAAAATTACGAGACGAAATTAAAACGTATAAGAATTGATTTTAGTGACAAAAAATAGAAATTTACAAATCTAGGATGACTACGCGAGAGGTTTGACCCATGTGCGAAATTACAGATATACCCCTGCCCAAAACGGCGTCGTTTGGGAGGGGTATATAAGACCAAATGGCTGGCCCGTAGGGCCAGCATCCCTCATTTCTTCTCTGCTTCGTCTCTCTCTAACCGAGAGAGTTTATAAAACTCTCTCGCCTCTCTCTAACCGAGAGAGTTTCCGGCAGTCGCCGGACACCGTACTCCGGTGTCGGTCTCCACCGCCGGCCACCACACGCGGTGGCCGGATTTTTCCTTAATACCCCAAATAACCTCCTAAACCCTATTAGGCCGAATCCGGCGTTAGTTTCCCCTAAAAAACTCCCGATCGGAGTAGATCTGAAGAAATACCTTCGGGTATTTCAAATAGTTTGGTCGGCCTGTAGCGTTTTCGATCACCGGTGGCTTCCTTGGTAAGCTTTCCTTTCTTTCTTGGTTTCTGTTTTGGTCTGTTTTTCTGTTGTTCTCCGTTGCTCTCTGTGGCTGTCCCTTCTCTTTCTTGCAGGTGGGGTGGCTTTTATAGCCACCACCGAGGCTCTCGTTGGACCGGTTCCAGAGATGAAAGGCCCGGTGAGTCACCATAGCTATGGTGGTGACTCACCATAGGGCTCAACGTGGGTAGCTTCGTGACGTTCTGGAGTGTCGGCAGCAGCTGTTGGACCACCTGGACTCATCGGAGGCGGCTGGAAGCATCTAGAAACGGCTGGCTGCTAGGGTTAGAAACCCTAGGGTTTCCTATCTGGAACTCTTTTGGGCCGTTGGATCTTGCCAGATCCAACGGCTGATGATGTTGACGGCGGCTGGGGGCTAGGGTTTGAAAACCCTAGCTAAAACCCTAAATCAGTTTAGGGTTTCCATTTGGGTATGGGTCGGTTCTGGTTGGGCCTGGTATTTGGGCTTGTAAATGGGCTTCCAGTTTTGTAATTATTTATTAAATAATAATAATATATAATATTAATAATAATAAATAATAATAATAATAATAATAATAATAATAATAATTATAATAATAATACTAATAATAATATTTAATAATAATAATAATAATAAATTTAATAATAATAATAAATTTAAATGAAAAAAATGATGTCTACAGTAATAATATCATTTTTAAAGCTCAAGATTAGTCATTTAATCAACAGGTGTTTTTCTCTTATAAATGCCATATAAATCAATCTTAGATTAATTTTTTCTACATTGAATCTTCCTTTTTTTAGCCCATGCATCTAAGAGTGAAGGAGATAGCTATAAGCGATCCGTTTCCACTCAGATTAATTAAACCGAAAAAAGAACTAGTATTAGCTGCTGAAACGACTTAGTTTGAAAATTTTGGAATGAATGTATGGAAATTAAGGAATCTTTATTAAAAAAAAAGTATATATGTCATTATTTTCAACCAAAAATTGGTTTTTGGGTTGAATTTATATTTGAAAAAGATAATAGTTTCAAGTAATAATTTCGATGTCAATGATTTCAAACTCTTGAATCCAATCAGTCAATCGTGGTGATTTAAGGAATAGCCATTATCGGCCAGTTTTAATGATTATTCTTCATACATATAGTCTGGTCTAGGACCCACTCCATTCCATTTTTTTCAAACCTTTTTGATTCCCCATTGAGTTTTAACCTAATAAGAGCAGTGCCAATATAATTTATATGTAGTGCTCTTAAAAATTTAAAATTATTATTTATTTTAAAATTTTATGTACTTTTTATTTAATATCTATTTTCACACTTTACAATTTAATAAGTTTATTCCTTAATAAAAATTTTAAAATTTATTTTTAAAATAAAATTTTACATAAAACTCTTTTTGGCCTTTTTCTCTCTGCGAAGAAAAAGGTTGTTTAAATTAAGCTTTTTGGTCGGAAATGAGGACTCTAAATAAATGACAACTCAAGAGCAAAGGTAGATAAAAAGTTGCTGATTTTGGTCAGCTCTGGCTCAGCAAGCACCGGTCTAGTGTCGCCGCCCATACATCCTGACCACAAGTCTTCTCTTTGTAATTTATATCATGGTCTCTTAAATCCTACACAGACACACATTTGAGATACTCTTAAGTATCTAAAGATAAAATTTCCATCTACAATCACACAAATATTTTAAGAATACAATACTAATTGTTGAGGATTATAATCAAAATTTTCAAGAATCGAACTCCAACATTTATTTTTGAAATTTCATTAAAAACAAAAAGTTTAATTTTATTTAATTTCAAAACTAAAAACAAATCTAATAATTAACTTTATCCAAAAATAGTAATAATCAGGTAGCCAATACCCTCCCACTATACAAGTGACTCTGTCACTGATATACAGTTTTTTTTTAATTCATTAAACCAGAAACGCATACGGTGATGCTATTGACATAGACATACAGTTGAGGTGGGTTTTTCATCTTTTACAATTGGAGAGTTGTCGTCTTATTGCATGGCGCATGCAGAAGCATGTGCTTATAAGTTAGATAGATCAATGGAAACTAGGTTAAATAAATTTTGGATAAATTATGTATTTGATCGTCCAATTATCACTTCGATTATATTTTAATCATCTAACTACTTTTTTTCTAAAAAATATCATTGACGTTATATTTTGATCACTTACAGTTAAAATGACAATAATAATGTTGATGTGTTTATGTAATTTTTTTGTGCCTTTTCATATATTCAGCTAGAGCTAGGGTTAAATAAATTGTTTCGTCTTTTCTAGATATATGAAGGAACCTTCATGAAATTTTCTTGGAAATTCCCCCACCTGAAATCTTGATATATACGATCAGTTATCAGATTTCATGTCGCCTTCTCACAGAACATAACTACAACACAGTTGATTACCATAAAGAAGAAAACATAAAACATTATTACATAAAAAAGGATTATAATTAATTTAGTATACTAATTGTTTAATCCCTCTTTCGCAACATCTTGTCTCTTCTACGGTTCCGCCTTGTGAGAAATGAACACAAGCTGGCACCCAATCCCTCGTGCATGCATTTTTTTTATACACCAGTTTATGTCTCTAACACCCCAACAATATTATCTTAACAGCTTAATATTTAATAGAGTATATTATTCGAACTCGAATATATATGTCAGAGTATGATATTGTAAAAGCTGTCTCATTGGTAAAAATGAGTATCGTTCTCTTTATAAGTTTCCGAATTCGAACAACTACATCTGTGAGTTATCAATGATTAAAAAAATTATAAATAGATATTTCTTTATAATCACTAATACTATTAAAAAAATACTATATCTTCAATCTTATCTAGTTGGATATAGGTATAAGATAAAGAAACATTTTGGGTGGCTTATGCGGAAGGTTCCTGCAAACAAATATGGTTCCTCAGCTGTTACCAATTGTCCCACGCCCGTACTCTGAAGGAGACTTCGTACGCATTTTCTCACGGATCTCAGATCTAGTTTAGGATAACTTGTCCTAAATGGAATCAATATAAAGCCATGTTCAAGTGTTGATTAGCCTTTCACAGCCCCATCATCATCAGCATCACTATTTCCTTTGTTTTCGAGTATGGCAAATCTAAATTTCAGTGCTCTAAGGGACTTACATAACTCTGCTAATGACCTCCTTCACTCGCCGACAATCAAGCGAGCACTCGTTCACCAGGGTCAAGAGAAATGGGTTCATCAAGTATCCGAATCGTCTCTCAGGATGTTGGATGTCTGCGGCATTTCCCAAGACATTCTTTTGCTCGTCAAGGAACACGTCCAGGACCTGCAATTCACTCTGCGCCGAGTGAGCACCAATCAGTCCGATATCGGAACCAAGATGGCGGTTTATGACAAGTACTCGAAGAAGCTAAAGAAAGAGACTCTCAAGTGTTTGCAATCACTAAAATGGATGAAAAACAAGCCTGTAGCCAACGACATCGTAGCAGCCATCGACGATAATCTGTCGATGGTTGTCGATGTGCTACAAGAAGTGAGAGTGACATCGATATCCGTGGTGGAGTCACTGCTTTCCCTCATTTCGATTCCGTGGCTGGAGAGAAAATCGGGTAAGGGGTATTTCGGATCGAAGTTCATGCAATCGAGTAGGCAGAGATTTTATGATATAAGCGATGAAATGGCGGTTCAGAGCGCGAATAAACGACTGCAGGCAGTGGAAATAACGATTGAGGATCTTGAAGCAGAGCTAGAGTGCATATTTAGACGTTTAATCCAGACCAGAGTTCTGCTTCTTAACATACTTACCAACTAATCAACATACAATATGAACATATTTTTCCCCTTTCAACTGGAAAATTATTCATTGGTTAGTTGTTATGCTAATTAAAACTTGATAGCTGGATAGGCTGATTTAGTGATTAAATAACTTCTGCATTCTTTGATTCTTTTCAATAAGATCACAGTCCTAATTGTTGGTATCTTGTAATTACTTTAAATATTTATAATATAATTATATTATTCTTCATTCAAACCAAGACTTTTTTTTAAACAATGGAACCAAGACTTTTTTTTAAACAATGGAACCAAGACTAAAATTTTAAAATTTAATAAGTATAAAAAGTAAAATTGATCAAATTAGATTATATTTATTAAATTCACATGTTACACCTAGTATAAGAATTGATGAATAGAATTTAACTATTATTATTGTTGAGGGTTTTCTACTTATAGATAATGTAAATTAAATATATATTTTTAGAATAATCTGGGATGATTATAAGGTACATGTTCAATTTTTTTCTTAAACTATAATAAAATATATACATTTTGTAAATACAATTGCTCAAACTCAAATCGATAAGTTCATTTTAAGATTGAAATTGAATATAAATATTTTTAAAATATAATATAAAAGTTGTCATGAAATGAATACACGTGAATGTTTCCGTGTCTAGTAGTTCTCCCTTCAATAATATCTTCTTAAGCTAACCAGTAGTGTTTAAATTAAGCATCCAATTAGTTGGATTAAAATTGTATAAATCAATAATTGAGTGCATGTGTTTAGCTATGTGATGATCCAGGTTCCAAAGCAACCAACATAATAATTGCTTATAATTTATAAACTTAGACAAAGCAACCAACACTTGATTATATTAATAATCACATCAACAATTAGTTTAAATTTTAACATTTCAATTAAATAAAATTTAATTAAAAGTCATTTCTACATTAAATTTTTATAATATTCAATTTAAATTAATTATTTAATAATTATATTAAAAATATAATATCTGCTAAATAGATCTTAAATATAGGAAATAAATAAGAGAAAATAACCTCAGTGACCGAAAATTCCTTATAATATACGATTTTGACCAACTTTTTTTCGATTTGCCAAAATGACCAACAAAATCGCAACGCGATATTCAGTATCGCAAATCAATTTCCAGATTCGCAACGCGATTTTGACTATTGCATTGCGATTTTCCAAATTCGCGTTGTGATTTTAGATATCGCAACGCGATAATACAAAATCGCAATGCGCGCCATTAGTATCGCAACACGTATTTTATTTTCAAATTCCAAACACGAATATTAATACATCCCGTAATTGCAACTCTTAACCTAAAACCCTAAATCACAACTCAGTCTCATCTCCATCTCTCACTCTCTACGGCGACATTCGTCCCCATCTCCGATGAAATTCATCCCCATCTCCGGCGAAATCCGTCTATATCCATCTCTCATAGCCACCCTCACAATCATTCACGATCAGAAATGGAAAATCAACCAAATCAACCACCGAGGGTTAGTTTTTTTAATTTTTTTTATTTTGAAATTTTTGCATTATTATTAGGTTTTTCATATTGAAATTGATGATAAGTTTACTGGTAATTTCAATAATAGATTAACCATTTCACTTAGATTGCTTATTAAATTCATTCGATTGCTACCAATACTGCTAAATTGTTTAGTCTTTAACCCTGTAAAGTTAGTATTTGTCTTTGTTTTGTCTTTTGGTTGAAGTAATGCAATTCATTCAAGTTTCAATTTTAGACAATGATTATTTGAAACCGAGGATCGCAACGCGAAATGAAAATCGCAACGATAAAATCGCAACGCGATTTTAGTTTCGCGTTGCGATTTTCTCGTTGCGATTTTCATTTCGCGTTACGATTATATCGTTGCGATAGTCAAATTCGCGTTGCGATAGTCATTTTCGTGTTGCGATTTTCATTTTCGTGTTGCGATTTTAAGTTTCAGAAACTATTATTCTTCTGCAAATTGAAACTTGAATGAATTGCATTACTTCAACCAAAAAACAAAGACAAATACGAAATTCACAGTGTTGCAAATTTAAGTTTGAAGAATAAACTACTACTACTCTTTATGTTTATTATTGTTTTTGGTATATCTTCACAGTGTAGTTTTTGGTATATCTAACTGGGTATGTTTATTGTTTTTGTAGAACTTTTTTTCGGCTCAATTGACCTTAAGGAATAAAATAAGTGTAGTCACTACAATTGTGTCGAAGCTTTCACCTGTACAAAGAAAATTGTTTGAGGATACTTGCTTCGGGCCATGGCTGAAAGTACAACATCCGGATGGAGATGTTATGTTGACCCATTTGTGGCTTCAGACCATGACTAGCGATCTACCGGAGAGTATAAAATGTGGTAATGAAGAGATATGGTTTCATTTTCCACCGGCGTATACGTGTTTTGGGCGGGAGGAGTTTTACTTAATCACTGGTATACGCTTCGGACACGATGATGTAGGTCGATACACTAGTCATATTACCCGTCCATCATGGTTATCCCAGGTTTTTCTTGAGCTGTCAATGGAGAAGCCGAATTTACACGTCGACGACTTGACGAGATTATTGAATAAGAAAGATGGTTTTACTCGGATGGATGACGTCAATGTTGTCCGAGTATGCCTTTTAGTACTTTTGCATGCCGGCTTTTTAGGCAGAGAGGCCAGACAACCTATTCCTAAGGACCTAATATTATTGGTAGAGGACCTAAATGCATGGAACTTGTTTACGTGGAGTTTGTATCTATGGAAAGCTACCTGGAATAAGTTGTCGTCTGCCTTTGATGACCGCAAAAGTTTGTGTGGCGATGGTTCCAAATACACTTTGCCAGGCTTTATTTGGGCCTTTAAGGTAATAATTTCTATTTAATGTTTCTAAAATTATAATTAATTATTTAACAATTACTAATGTTTGTGTATTATATTGTTTTTGTAGATTTGGATATTTGAGGCTTTTCCCGACATGCAGACATATGCATTAAAAACTTCAAATGATATTCCTAGAGTTATTTCCTGGAAGAGGAAACGGCGGTTGTTGATTTGGGAAGAGTTACTACGGTATACGACAATAAATGATGTAAGTTAACACAAATACTACCATATATAAACAAGTTATTACTAGTACACGTTTAACTTTGTTTGAGCTTTTATATTGTTAGGATGCCAACACTCCATTACAGAGGCTGAAACCCACGGAGGCTGAGCTTGCCACTGATTGGTGGCAAGCTAGTAAGCATTTTTTTGATGGCACAGATGATGAGCAGCCTCCACTTCGAGAGCCATCACCTGATCGACCACACTATACACCTCTACAACGAGAGCCATCATCTATTCTGTCATATCATCGAGCCTCTTCTCCACCATCACCTCATGATAGGTAACCGGCAAAGATGCCACGATATTTATCTCCCTGTTCTCCACCTCCACGGGATGAGTTAGGGGAGTTACGTGATGAGGTCAATGCCTTGCGTGAGGAGGTCAGTACTTTACGCGATGACAATGGTGCATGGCGTGACGAGGTATCTACTTTACGTAGTGAGGTAGCGTGTAACACCCTTAACTCATATCCAACCCGAATACAAGTCCGAGGTGTCACATTGACTTTTCAAACTTTGACACTTATAGAAAATCACGGGAATTTTTAAAACTTTCATTAAAACGAAATACATTAATTTACATAAAACTATAAAATACAAAATCGATCAGAGTATTCGTAATTAACACTTATTACATGCCCACATTCTATACATAACCAAGTACATACTTTTTCAATTACTTCTGATCTGATCTCTTAGTAGTATTGTTGTCCGTGCTACTTCTATTTCCACTTTTCCTGATTCTTTGTACCTACGTGTAAATCACTTACACGCTAAGTCATAGACTTAGTGAGGCAATAAATGAATATGCAACAATAAACTTATGAATGTTCATACTTACCATTGGATCATGACATTTCAAGATGCATGTATCTATCACACGATAACATATATAATCATATAATGCACATACGAAACTTACCTTCTTGTATCACTTTCACTTTAATTCGGTATTTCAATTGTATTGCCCATGTATATTATTGAGAATAGAGGTATGTGAGTGCATTGAGGTTGTGCACTAATGCTGTCACCACAGCTCGTATCAATTCCCTCGTGGGGCACCGAACCTTAGTTCAGTATTCATCCTGAAGGACCACGATCCAGAGGTCACAATATAAACTGTTCATATGTGCCTTTAAACATATGTAAACTGTTCATATGTGTCTTTAAACATATGTAAACTGTTCATATGTGCCTTTAAACATATGTAAACTGTTCATATGTGCATTTAAACATATGTAAATTGTTCATATGTGCCTTTAAACATATGTAAACTGTTCATATGTGCCTTTAAACATATGTAAACCCTCGACTCTTGGCATGCCAACTACACCTATAGTTCTCATATCGTATACTATGGACATTATTCTTATACCTTTCATATCACTTGTTCTTTCTCTTCTGTCACATACCACATGTATGTGTAATTATATATTTCATATCATATCACATGTATCACAAGTGCATACATTCACGTAGATCATGTAGCTCATATCACTTAATTCATATCATGTTCTCATATCACATATCATATCACCATAATTATTATGTATGCATGTTCACAATCATTGTATTATAAAAATCAACATAAGGATTAGACTTATCAACAGTCTTATTCCATTATACTATACATATAGTATGCACTTACCTTAGCTTTGCTTTGATTCGATTCTAATCCTTTGATCGTTCTGGAATAAGCTTACTTTTAGTATCTACATAATCACACATGGATCTATATCAGTATTATAACTAATATACTCTAATGGTTCACTCTTTAGACTAAGAGAAAAGTCAATTTCATCTTTTAATGAAGGTATGCATCGATGCACTACTGATGCATCGGTTAATAAAAGGTATTCGATGTAGTATTATTGTTGGGATGCATCGATGCACTCTTTAT